TTCTTTGGTAACCACATTACAAGTCGTACTCCTTTGTTTTAATCGACTATATATTTGAACCTTTTCACCTCTCATGAGCACTTGAATTGTTATGAACTTTGTAAAAGTTAAAGTGTGGGGTGGTTGGTTCGGCTTTGGCATGGAACTAATGAAATAAGGAGAAATGTGCACTGTTTTGAAAAAGTAAGAGCCACTTGAATTGAAAAAGAAAGAAAAGAAAAATCAGCTATATTGCTGTGAAAAATATCCTTTGATAGTAGTGACTCTTGATGTAATTGTGCTTAAAAAAAATATGGAGTTAATATAAATTGAAGTGAAGGTGGAATGTTTGGTTTGGCATAAGTATGGGATGNGGTTTTGACTAGGACCCGGCCCACACGTTTAGGATTTCTTCTACACATATAAATAGACCTAAAACACCACTTGGAAGGGGGTGGTTTCAGCAGCCAAGAGGTTCTATCAGCAACCACGTTTTTGGGAAGCTAGAGGCAAGGAGAGCTGCTGGAATCACCTCTTGGGAGTTAGAATCATCTATTTGTACATCTTTTCATCTTTACTCTGTATTTTAATTATGTAAAATATTTAGAATATTGTTAATATGAGTATGAGTAGCTAACTTTCTAATCTAGGGTTTTGATGGAACCTATTGAAGGATGATTTTCTTGTTACGTTAATATAGATTTGTCGTAGTATTTTCTCTATTTGTTCAACTATATTATTCTTGTGGTTGATTGAAGGGTCCTCAATTAGCCGTACCTATTTAGTATGTATTACTCGGGAGAGGGATCAATACGGAGGTTTAAAGGTGGGTTTAGGGAATCTGAGTGAGCTGTGCTTAATGCTAGCTAGCGTAATTCGGGAGAATATGTCTAGTAAATTGTGGTAATTACTCGGGAGAGAGTTACGACAGTTAGAGTGCTCATGGTCGATAGAGAAGACTTACGCAAATTTGTAGAAAACATAGCGGAAAAGATTCCGACAATAGGAAAAATCACAACTCTAGACCTCCTTAGTCTTGTATAGAATTTCATCCATGTTAATTGATAGTTTTAGTGCTTTCTAGTATTTGTTAGTTAATTAGATAAAAATAAACATTATAATCTTTATAACTAGAAAATTATTCGAACTTGTGTTTCTTTGCAATATTGAATAGTTGTAGCTAAGCCTTAGTTATCTGTGGAATTCGACTCCGGACTTGTAAACCGGATTATATTTGCAACGACTGCTTAGTCCTTTTTATAAGGCATAGTTGGACGTGATCAATGTATACTTGTCATATATATTCCTATAAGTATATATTTAAGTTCTGCATGTGAACTTTAATTTGATTTTTTTTTAATGTTTGAGTACATTGTATCACTTCAGTAGTCGTTAGTTAAAAACATGGCGGCCAATTCAGGTAATTTCTTCTGAATAAAGAATAAATTGATTCCTCATATTAGTGCAAAAGAATGATCTCCTTGAGCGTCCTAACTACTACCTAAGATTCTTGATTTTGATAGAAAAACTTAGTAAAATTTAATTTTAGCCAAACAGCTGTATGGATTTCTATTATTGAAAGTAAAGCAGCATCACCTTTTATTTTCTGAGCAAATGTTGGAATAAGAAGTCCAATAGAAGAAAATGGTACACTAAATAACTTCTCTCTTGCATATATATATATATAGAAGTCAAAGATGATTTTGAGTATGTACGCGCAAATATACTCAAAATTTCGAGATGGATGAAGAAACGAAGTTCTAAATAAATGTCGAAGTTAAAATTGCTGAATACATATATGCTATTTTTTAAAAACATTTAAATTAAGTTATTTCCTTAAATGATCTCTTAACCTTAGAAGCCACAAGTAATCAACCAATTAAATTTATGACAGAACAAGAGTTGTCAAATTCTCCAATCAGTATGTACATATGCTTCTAAGTTCTAATTAATATGCTTTGCAATTAATCTCGTAATATAATAAGTTTAGAGTTTAAAGAGCTTTTATGCAATAAACAAGTGAAGGTTATGATTGTTCTCCAAAGAGAAAAATTCCACTTTTTCTTCAATTAATGATAGATAGATTGGGCAAAATCAGGAAATAGTAGGTGAAAGTGAAAAATGGAAAATTTATTCTTTTATACCCTTTGACAATTGCCTCAGTTTAAAGTCGAAAAATGGGGGATAGATAGATGTCAATGCATGTTACTCCACCATTTATAAAGTGTGAATATGACATTTCTCCTAGGATGGGGGAAACAAATTGTCAAAGATATTGACAAAGGAATAATGACTACCCTACAAACAAGGCAAAATGAGAAGAAAGGGTATCACTATCACATGCTTGCTTTAACACAGTGATACATCCATCATTTCGTTTCACACTTATGATTTTGACTCAACTTTTGGTTTATGTTACCACCTTTTATGGCTTTACCATTGGTAAAGCCATCTGATTAATAAGTCAATTTGTTTCTTTAGAGAATAATCCTTAACGAGAAAGATTTTGATTCTGGCCTGGTTACCTTTTCTTTGTAAGCCGTGCGTAAAATCAAAGGCGAACCCAAGATTTCAAAGGAGAGGGACATATAAGCGGACTGCTCAATCAGTACTCGGACTTTTGATTTTAAGGGTTCCAAACAAAATATCCAATAATATATATATATATATATA